GCGTTCGCAGGAGGTCGGCGGAGGCTAGACATGCAACGCTACGTGGGGGAGTTGGCTGACGAGTATGGAGTTCCTTTGCTCTACTTTGAGTGGATTTGGCTTCCGATTACCGTTGGATTTATCGAACCCCTCTCTGGCTGCCGTGTTGCTTGAGGCGGTGGAGGAAGGTGCGATCGATATTCTCTTGAGAGCGCATCCGTGTGCAACGCGGAGTTGCGTTCGTTTTCGACATGGCGGCCCTAGGCCGCTGAGATTTCGAGACAAGCCCTCGGGAAGATCGGACCTGGCGGGGCCAGGGGGGGCACGAGTGACAGAAGGCAACGCGTTGCTTTTCAATTTCTTGGGGTTCTGTGACACAGTCGAACAACATGGGGGCGCGTGCCTCATGGAACACCCCAGGGGCCCTCAAGAGAAGCCCCTCCCCATCATCTGGGACCTGGACGCGGTCATGGGCACGCTGGAGAGGCGCGGCGCGGAGGTGGCGAACATCGACCAGTGCGCGCGTGGAGGGCCGTCCCAGAAGCCGACGACGTTGGCATCAAATCTGGGCGGAATCGGGGGCCAGGCTCCGCGCTGCGACGGCGCGCGCGTCCACGAGAGGGCGCATGGGAAGAATGCCGATGGCATCTTCCGTTCTCGGCGTCTGCAGGCGCGCCCTCCTCGTCTTTGCCGCATGGTCGCCCTGCGTGTCGCGCGGGCTGCGATCGGGGTGCTCAACGCAGGGCGCGGGCCAGGAGGTTGGCTCAGGACAGGACGGGAGAAGCCCCGCCATTCGAAGTGGACGCGCGAGAAGGACGCGGAGGGCCTCTATGTGCTGAATGAGCTCTACCGCCAGGGTGACTGCGCGAGGCTGCGCCTTGGGTTTCAGGCTTTCTACGGCCTGAGCACCACGGCCTGCCCCCGCGGAGGCTCGGCTAGAGACGAAGCTGAAAAGATGATGGAGAAGATAGCCGACGCCTGGGAGGAGGTAGGTTTCGCGGTGACCGAGCGGGAGGTGATCACGGAGGGCTCGAAGGTCGCGGGGCACGGGTTGCAGAGCTCCCCGCCTCGCCTGAGGCTGGCCATTGCGAAGGAGGCCAGCTACCTGGAGGCGGCGCTCGCGTGGATCCTCGAGACGCCTCGGGTGGATGTGGGCGCGTGGCTGCGGGGTGCTCTGCTCCGCCGCGAGCTCATGTCGGCGCCCGCCGCGGCGTTCGACCTGATGGGGAAGAAGCAAGGTCGAGTCGTCCGTTGGCGGGCATCGGCGCGACGAGAGTTGCGGATCATGCGTGACCAGATTCCGATGATGACCTGCGCGCTGGGCCTCCCCGCCGCCCCCGCCCTCTTCGCGTCCGACGCGGAGGGCGCCGGCAGGGTGGATCACGGGGGCCTCGGCACTGTGGGCGCGGCCATCTCGGAGCACGAGGCGGAGAGGGCGATCGGCGCAGGTGCCGCGCCTGGGCGCGCAGTTTCGAGACTCGACGGCACGGTGGGCCACCTCAACCGCGCGGACAAGGAGTTGAGGGGACGCATTCCAGTTTCTCGCATCCCACGTGAGCTGCTGCAGATCCCCCAGGACATGTGGAGTGACCTGCGCGCGGGGAGGTGGCGACAACCAGATCATATTATCTTTCGTGAAGGCCGAGCTGTGGTGAAGTTGCGCCAGGGCCTCTCGTTCCTTGCGAGAGCCCACGAACACGCTATATGTAACATGGAGGATACCGAGCCTTTGGCAGCAGCAGCAGCGGCGAAGGGGCAGTCTTCGGCCCCGCATTTGAACTACCTGCTGCGCAAGGTGGGTGCACTTTCAGTGGCGACAGGCATCGAGCTATACTTACCCTGGGTGGACACCGCACATCAGACAGCAGATGCGTTGTCCAGGAGGAGGCAGCTCGGGTCGGGCAGGGCCGCGTCGGCTCGACCCCGATCAGGCTGCCAGAGTGACTGAGAAGACTCTCGAAGTTTATGTGAGTGCTGGGCTGCAGTGTTCAGCCTGGGCGCCGCGGCGCAATTTGCACCCCAGCGGTGCAGACCAGTGGGGCGATCTCTTAGTTGAGTTCAAAAATGACCAGAGTGAACACCTCACACCAGCAAAGTTCGTCAATGTTGTTGCATCAGTTGAGTTCTTCTTCCCTCGAATGAGGGGCGAGGTGTTGTGGAGCAAAGCTGCGCTTGCAGGATGGGAGAGAAACGCTGGCAGGAAGCATGATGTACCTCTGGGAAAGTTGCCTGGCAAGCTCCTGGGGGTTCACTTGGGTTCCAGAGGTCATCCTCGCTTGGGTCTCGCCCTCGTCGCGCAGTGTCACACGGGCCTTCGGCCCTCGGGGCTCTTGGGCATACCGCCTGAAGATCTAGTCTTTCCTCGAGATCTGGGAGAAGACATGGTCTCGGTTTCAGCATCCATAGCTCTGGCTCCGAGAACAGGCACCAAGCTCAAGAGGCCTCGGGTGGCCCGTATCTTCCAGCAGGACCGGGGCATCGTGGATGTGCTAGAGGACATCGCGAGGGCCACCCCGGCAGGCAGGCCGCTCTTTCCCTGCAGCTTGGCCCAGTGCCGCATGCCCCTGAAGGGCGTCGAGGGCTCCCCGGGTCTCTCCATGGGGTGGGGCCCTCACAGCCCTCGCGCAGGTTGGGCCACCGACTCGGGCGGAGGGCCTCTCCTTTGAGGAGGTACGTGAGCGAGGAAGGTGGATTTCGCATTCCAGTCTGTGAATATACCTGGACATCATAGGTGCGAGTCACATCCCTACTCAGTTCAACGCGAGAGGTTTCGCGCAACAGCTGCACTGGCTCAAGAGGGGTTGGAGCCAGCACTTCCCAGCACACGTTTGGGGGGCGCCTGGTCTTCACAGACATGGCGCCGAAGGGCATGATCATAATCTATGGACAGTGGGCCAAGGGCCCATCGGAGGAGATGGGGACGGCGCCGACGCTGCCAGCGACGCCTGTCACGCCTGGCAGCTGGATGGCAGTGAGCGCGCGAGCCTCAAGGGCCACGTCGAGGGCGGCGTCGCCAGGGGCAGTCTCATTGGCGCTCACGCCGCCCAAGAACAAGTCCCCTGGAGTACCTCCGCCGCCCGCGACTCTCTCAGCAGCGCCCACGGACGAGGCGGGCAGCCTCCTGCCGCGCACGGTGCAGTTCGTGCCCCAGCTGCAGAGACCTCAGCAGCAGCAGCGAGTTCAGAAGGTCAGTTACCTGAAGATGGCTGCCAACTGCAGTAAGATCCTGACGCCTTGGTTCGGCCCTTGCTTCTTTCTCGCCGTCATCATCTGGGTGATCTGTGTCTCCATACCGTCGGCTGTCTTTCCTAACGTGTCCAGGAGCGCCGAGGCAGCAGCAGCCTTGGTCGAGGATGTGGCAGGAGCTGGAGGTGCAGTGTCTCTGGCGGCCAGAAACCTTACGCTGGCCGTCAGTGGATGGGGCTTTGTCTATTGCCAGGAATTCAGCATCTCTGGTCGACGAGGCTTGGTCGGGCATCGACCTACTGGTGTGCAGGCTCAACGTGACCGGGGACTGCTTTGTCGTGGACATCGGGGCCCGCTCGCGCTTAAGCATGATGGGGGAGCTCGAGCGTGGACCTGCTGGTGGTGCCTGAGGCTCTGGCTGCGGGGCTGTGGAGTTCCATCTGGGCAGCGTCTCCCCGAGCGCCGTCGGCGGCCAGGACCTCGGCTCAGTTCGATTTTTCTGGGAGCTGTTTCATTTGGGATTGGGAGGTTGTGCGAGTGGCTGAGGAGATCCTGGCCATCCGTTTCTATTTCGCGAGACTGGGTTTTGAGCTGCAGTGGGCTAGCCCGGCATGGTCACTGACTGGCGCCGATCTTGGTTGAGAGCTCGAGCGCATCAGAGCCCGAGTCAGATATGCGATCGAGTCCGCAGTGTACGCGACGGCCATGAGATCGCCGCTCAAGGCACAAGAGGTGCTTGAGCTTCCCACCGCTCGCCCGCCCTGGTGGTTTCGGGTCGGCAGAGGTGCGTTCGCTCAGTTTGAATGGTCGAAGTACGCATGAGGGTGGTGGCTCTGAGTGGGCAAAGCCATCTATCTTGAAGGATCGCTAAGCGGAGATTTGCACACTCAGGTTCTCAGTGCGGATTGAAGTTCGGAGATTGAGGAGTTGTCCCTCGACTTGCGGGATGAGGTTTCACTTCAATGCGAAGCCCTCGATCAAGGGCCGTTTGAGATTTTGAGTTGCAGCACGTCCGAACTGGCATCGAACGTGACATGGTGGTTTTGGTCCATGTGTGTTCTGGTGCAAAGACATAGATGCTGCATCACATCGTGTGCTTCTCACTTTCTCAGGCTTCGCCTGTTGCACGTCCCTTTTGTGCAGGCTCCGCCTGCATCTCCGCCTCTCCCCCTTTTCCTCTCCGTCCTTCTCCTGGGCCGCGGGGGCGGTGCCTGGGGGGTGGGTGGGTGGGTTCTCGAGGCTCTTCAGAGACAGGCTCGTCCTTGTACATTATATATGTGTATATATATACATATATATATATATGCACATACATACATACATACATACTTACTTACTTACTTACATACATACATACATACATAGATACACACATACATACATACACCCTTTGGCTTTCACAGCGTCCAAGACAGCCCAGGAGGCCCCCAAGTCTGCCCCACAGGCTCCCAAGAGGGCCCCAAGACGACCCCAAGAGGGTCCCAAGACGGCCCGAGAGGCCCTCAAGAGAGCCCCAGGAGGAGCCCCAGAGGGGTCCCAAAGGGGTCCCAGAGATGCAAGACCATTTTCAAATTCCGAGCTTTCGGCCCCAGAGGCTCCCAGGATGCCCCAAAAGGTCCCCAGGAGGCCCCAAGAGGCCCCCAAAAAGGCTCCAAGAGGCCCCCAAAAGACCCCCAGGAGGCTCCCAAGAGGCCTCCAGGAGGCCCCCCGGAGGGTCCCAAGAGGCACTCAAGCATGTTGGCTCGAGGGGTGTCTTACTGAGGCAAGCTTTGTTTTTCTCAGCCCGAGAGTCAAGCGCAACCCCCTGGGTCGCCGGACGCTCCCCAGGAGAAGTCATGACGGCCCCCCGCGGTGTGAGGCTGGCGCTGGCCTGTGCCGCACTCCTCGCGCGGGCATCGACGGCGCGGCCCGGCGCGGCGCTGCCTCCAGCAGAGGAGCACGCGCGCGCCCCCGATCCCTACGACATGTTCGACAACTCGCCGATCCTCCTGCTGAAAGCCTGTGGGCAGGGAGAGCAGGAGCTGCTGATGGGCGAGATCGAGGATCACCCTTGCACGCTCATCGACCAGGTCGGGAAGGAGGGCGCGTGCTCCGTGACGGCCGTCATCTGCCCGAAGCCGCTGCACTTCGAGCATGCCGTCGCCGAGGTCTTCAAGGACGATGCCGGAGCGTACCTGCGAGGCGCCGGCCTCCCGCGGGCTTGGGACCGCCGCTCTCAGAGGAGCGACGATTTCTACGCGCAGTGGCGCAGCTACGACGACATCCTCACCAGGCTCGGGGGCCCCCAAACGGGGTGGTGACCACACCGTGCGGTGAGTCGGTGGGGATTCGGGGTCACCGCACGGTTTTGGGACTCGGGTCGTTCTCCGAGGATGTCTCGGGCGACAGGGGCCTCCAGGGTCCCAAGACCGTGCGGTGACGGACCGTGCGGTGAGGTCTTGCGGGATTTCGAGGTCACCGCACGGTCTGTCACCGCACCGTTTTGGAACTCCAAACAGGCTCCAGGACGTGGTGGATGCCGCGCCCGGCGTGGCCGTGCTGGAGAGCCTCGAGCCGGCCACCCACGAGGGGCGCGTGATCAAAGCCGTGCGCATCCGTGACCCTGCATGGGCGCCAGGGGCACCGAGGATCGTTGTCAATTCCCTTCTGCACGCCCGCGAGTGGATCGCGTCGATGGTCGGCACTTACCTGGCGGAGTACTGCGTGGACAAGAAGAGGAGCGACCCGAGCTGGATGGCTGGGATGGAGCTCGTCATCGTGCCAGTTGTCAACCCAGATGGGCTCGTTTACTCACAAACTTCGAATGCGATGTGGAGGAAGAACAGGGCCGTGAACGCGGGGTCTTCCTGCCGAGGTGTCGATCTGAACCGCAACTGGCCCAAGGACTGGAACGGCGGCGAGTCGACGTCCACGAACCAGTGCAGCGAGACCTACGTGGGTCCCTCGTGGGCTTCGGAGCCCGAGACGCAGGCGCTCGGGGCTGTGCTGCTCGAGGCCCCTGTGAATCTGCACCTGGACATCCACTCCTATGGAGAGATGATCCTGGGACCCTGGTCGTACACGAACGCCGATCATCCCGACAAGGCCACAATCGACGCCATTGGAACGGCTATGCAGAGCGCCATACAGAGCGTCAACGGGAAGTCCTACCTCTACGGCACCGGCGATGCGGGCGGAGCGCTCTACCTCGCCTCCGGCGTTGCGCCCGATTTGTCCACCCACTTGGGCGCTTACGGCTACACGATCGAATTGCCGCCTGCCAACGCATGGGGCAGTGCTGGTTTCCAGCCTGCCACTTCGGAGATACTCCCAGCGTGCACCGAGATCTTCGAGGCCGTCAAGGCGATGGTGGAGTGGTTCAGGGTTCAGGATCCGACTCCAGCTCCCCCACCGTGCCTCCAACACCAGTGCCGCCACCGACGCCAGGGCCGATGTGTGGCGAGAAGGGCCCCGACGACACTTCCTGGAACACGCGACGCGGCGAGCGAATCGTGGGAGGGCAAGACGCCACGCCATGCGAGTGGAAGTGGCAAGTCTCCCTCGCGCACCCGAGCTGGGGGCACTTCTGCGGTGGAACTCTGATTGCCCCGAACTGGGTCCTGACAGCTGCCCACTGCATGGGGAACTCTTTCGTCGTCGTGGCGGGCAGCTACAGACAACTTGCGACAGATGCGACAGAGGTGACACTGACAGTGAAGCAAGTCTATTCGCATGAACTTTATGACTCAAGCGAAACATCGCACGATTTTGCCCTAGTGGAGCTGGATAGCGACGCGCCCATGGACGATTGCATTGGAGTAGCATGCTTGCCAACCGAGGACGTCGCTGTCGGTGAGGAGTGCTTCATCACCGGCTGGGGTACCGTCTCCTCGGGAGGATCATCCCCTAACAGGATGCAGGAGGCGCAGGTGACCATCTACAGCAATGCAGATTGCGCTGCGGCATACAGCAACTTTGGCTGGGCGATCACCGATGACATGCTGTGCGCGCACGGCACGAACGGCAACGGCGAAACCACCGACGCTTGCCAAGGAGACAGTGGCGGGCCGCTCGTGTGTGCTTCTGGCAGCGATGCCTACACCCTGCATGGAGCCACTTCTTGGGGCTACGGGTGCGCCGTGACAGGTTACCCGGGAGTCTGGAGTCGAGTCAACTTCGTGCGCGATTGGGTCTACGACGTGATGGGGACCACTCAGGCCCCAACTTTACAGCCTACGCCGGCTCCGCCGACGCCAGCTCCGCCGCCGACGCTGGCGCCTACGCCGACTCCAACGTCAGCTCCTACTCCATCTCCGCCGACGCCACCCTGGGACTACATGTGGCTTTCAGTTACTGGCCCTTGCAGTCTAACTGGGGACTGTGTGCAGAGCCCGAACTATCCACGCAAATATCAGAATAATCAGGCGTGCGCAATTGAGGTATACCTGAAAAACGTAGGGGCGATCTCCGTGGAGAGATTCATCACAGAGAGTTATTTCGACACGCTCACCGTCAACGGAGTGGCCTATTCTGGCAGAAACGGTCCTGATGGAATAACCCCGACCAGCACCGTCTATTGGAATTCCGATTACTCCGTGAGGGGCAGAGGGTGGAAATTGTGCAAAACACCAGAGCCAACGCCGGTTCCAACACCGCCTCCACCAGTTCCAACACCGCCTCCGACTCCACCGGCCTGCATCAATGGCGGCGGCTGGGGGCGGCGGCGGCGGAGCTGTGGTCCAAACTGCGGTGGCGGCGGTCGGCGGCGGCGGACTTGCCCGGTCCGGCGGCTGACTGAACTGAGTGGACCCGAAGTCGATGAGCACGAGGGGATCGATGAGCTGATGGTAGTGGCCACGCCGGCGCCCGCTCTTGTGGCCCAGATCCCGCAGATCCCGCAGAGTTCCGATGCTGATATCTTTTACCCGTAGACTGCTTGCACTCAGCTGTTTTCGGCGGAACCAGTCTGGGCTGGCTGCGTATACCAATCTAAGCAAGTCACCGCATCTGCCTCGAATAATATATGTACCGAATCTAATCAGATGGTTCACCTATATCAGCGTGAACAAGGACGCTCCCTGGAGAAAGCACTCGGCCGTGGCGAGGTCGCGAAGTAAGACGCCGTAGGTCGTGAAGTTGAATGGTGCAAAAGGGGAGGGGAGGTGGAGGGGGGAGGCTCGTGGTTGTGAGAGGAGCTGAGGAGCTCGGTTAGAAGTACTACCCTGTGCCTGCCACCCGCCGCTGGAAATGCGGCCGCGACTGGTTTGCAAGCGTCGGTGCCGCCGTTTTGCGGGCATTGGCCTCGCCGCTGTTCATTAGTTCGACCTGGAACCTTCGCTTCCTCTCATGGCATTCTCGCGCTCCTCATCCTCTGCAGATATTCGATGAAGTGATAAGGTTATACACCTCTACTTTGGGGGCTCCGCGCTGAACTCGTAGATTCGTAGATCGGTGCTGGACCCTCACGCCAGCCTGCTGAATCTTTTGCGGCGGGCCTCTTCCAGCGCTAAGCCTCGCAGGTTTTCCGCGGCCGCACTCGCGACAGCACAAGAGCAGCGGCATGCTGCGCGCGCCGCCCCCGGGGGCACCTCGCGCCGCCCGTCCCCGAGAGAGCAGATGCCCGGTCGTACGATGCTGGTGCTTCGCTTCGGTTCCGAGTGCGAGTTGTTTCTTTCGATGGCGGCCACGAGGGGGGTGCTGCCTTGGGGGGAGGGAATATCTTGTTAGCCTGACCATTTTGAATGGCCAGCTGAGAGGGCACCCACCAACTTAACATCTGACTACGTCTGCCTTTTTCCATTGGCCTGGCCGCTCTGCACTGACGTGCTTCGGCGACGCATCCCTGACGCGGCAGCTGCCGGGCAAAAAAAAAGACAGCCCAAGAGAGCTCCAGGACGAGCCCCAGAGGGGTCCCAGAGGTGCAACGACCATATTCCAATTCCGAGCTTTCGGCCCCAGAGGCCCCCAGAAGGCCCCAAGAGGTCCCCAGGAGGCCCCAAGAGGCCCCCAAGAGGCCCCAGGAGGCCCCCAAAAGATCCCCAGGAGGCTCCCAAGAGGTCTCCAGGAGGCCCCCGGGAGGGCCCCGAGATGCTCCCAAACTGCCTCGAAGACGCCCTTGAGAGGCCTCTAAGATGCCTTCAAGCTCCCCCCCAAGAGGCCACCCACGGCCTTCTGGTGAGAATATCGCCCCCATGACTCATCCCTCAACCCCCCAACCCCCCGGCCGGATTTCTTTTCTTCTTTCCGCGGGGGGTCAACCTTCGCGGCGACCCGTTAAACCCGGGACCCCTGGCGGCGCATGGATTTCTTTCTTTCTTCCCCGCGCGCGTTGCCGTTGGAACCCCTGAACCCCTCCGACTACCGTACAACTCGTACTTGAGTACAACTGGTACTATCATGTCCTATCGCGCAGTTGTTCCTAGAGAGCACGTTGTCCTGCCGTGCAAATATTCGAGTGCAGCTGGTATCATATTACAGCTGGTAAAATTGTGCCCCCTAGAACAACGCCCTATCGCCAATCCCCAGTACTAGTACAACTCCATGGTACAACTTCCGAGCACAACTCCCCCGTACAATTCCCCGGTTTAAGTTTCCAATATAGTGGGTTTCCAATATATTGAGTTTCCAATATATTGCGTTTCCAATATACTGGGTTCCCAATATATAAGCCCGAACCCGAACCCAAACCTCACCGGCTGTAATTCAGTTGTTCCCGTGCTAATGCAAATCCCTAGTGCAACCGCGATTAAGGTGTTGTTGCATTGCACTTACAGTCTCGGCTCTCACGCTTTTCTTCCTCTTGTTGCGCTTGGGGGGGTGGGGCCCCTCGCGCGGGCACCCCCGCGGCTGGGAGTTCATTTCTCTTCCGGAATTTGAGGGGGGGGTAACCCCCGTGCTCGAACCCCATCGCCAGGGTTTTTTTCTTTCCTCCGCGGAAACCGGACCCCCTGGGTTCTTCGGCGCGCTCCATTTTTTTTTCTTTCCGGTTGGGCCTCCATGGGTCTTAGGTTGGAGTCACCCGGGTGATGTGAGAATGACGACGGATATGATGAACGAACATCGTCGAAGGGTATCATGACGATGATCATGATGATGGGAAGATGGCAGTGGCGATGATGAGAGGAGGGGAATTCTCATGAAGGTGGGCACGGTAACGACTGTGATGATGCTGATGGTGATGACGGTGTTGATGATGATGATGATGATGATGATGATGATGATGGAGGTGGTGGTGGTGATGATGGTCAGGATGCGGAGGATTATGTGGATGAGGATGAAGATGCTTCTAGGAGGGGGAGGACGAGGAGGATGAGGAGGAAACGGGGGTGAACTACATATGATAAGGACGATGATGAGAGTGATTTTATGATGATGAGGATGAGGACTGGCTGCTGACGGGGTTGATAAGATCATGCTGGTGATGGTGATGATGGTTATGACTGTCATGATGATAATGTTGCTGGTGGTGGTGGCGCTGAGGATGATGATGGCGATGGTGATGAGGCTGAGGATGTTGATGACGATGGTGACGGTGTTGATGATGATGTTGATGACGAAGATGATGAATTGGGAGGAGGAGCAGAAGGAGGAGAATGATCATGATGATTGTGACGTTCATGATAATGATGATGCTGATGATGATGATGATGATGATGATGATGGCGATGGTGATGAGGCTGAGGCTGAGGATGGTGAGGAGGAGGAGGAGGAGGGCGGTACAGATGATGAGAATGACGACGAGGACGATGATGATGATGTTGTTGTTGTTGATGATGGCGATGGTGATGGTGATGGTGATGGTGGTGATGAGTATGATGATGCTGATGATGCTGATGCGGATTCGGATGTCGCTGCTGCTGTTGCTGCTGCTTCTACTGCTGCTGCTGCTGCTGCTGCTGATGATGATGATGATGATGACGATGACAAGGACGATGACGATGATGATGACGATGCGGCGAGGCAAGATCAGGACAGCCGTCACACGTGTCATCTTCCGTCTTTCCTGCTTGAGGAGCTTCCCGGAAGCCCATTCGGGCGGTTTGGGGGCCGTCTTGGGCTTTCGTGATGCAGTGGTGGAGGACTTTCGGGCCTTTTGGGGCCAGCCCACTTGGGGCGCTCTTGCAATGGTCTGAGGCTCTCCGGGGCCGTCTTGGGGCCCTCTTGACTGTCTGAGTTGGGGGGCCTCTCGCGGTCGTCGATGGGCCGTATTCGGGCCGTCGATGGGCTCTCCAAGGTCGCCTTGCGCCGTCTCGGGGCTTTCTTGGGCTGCCTTGAGGCCGCCTTGGAGGATTATTGGGCAATTTGGGTGCAGTCCCGGGGCCATGGTAGTGGATACCTTTAGGGCCGTCTGGAGCAGAAGGGAGCCCGAACAGGTGAAGACGCCGAAGACTTTCGCATTCGCCATGTCGGGCCTTAGTGGGGGTTATCGTGTGGCTCTCTTGGGTCTTTTGGGGGGCGTCGTGGGCCGTTTGGGAGGCCACCCTGGGCCGATTTGGGGCCATTTTGGGCCGTTTCGGAGGCGTCGTTGGCCATCTTGCTCTTGGCGGCCTTGGTTGCCTGTCTTGGCCGTCTTGTGAACTCGGGGGGGAGGAGGGAAGAGAAGG